AAAAACATCTCTAAATAGATGAGATCATAATCCATCGATATACAAAAACCATCTTCAGATCTTATTCCATCCATATACAATTAGATCTTAATCCATGTATAAAAAACTATCTTTAGATCCTAATCCATGTACAAAAAAACATTCCCAAAACCTAAACCCATATCAACTAATATCAACACTTTCAAGTTTCAACGTATGATCAAAAAACGATAAACCATGCATTCAATTCAGATTTGTTGCACTACTACTTCCACCTCCATTTTAACCACCACTTCCACCAACATTGTCATCTTCATTTCCATTTGTATTATTGACAACTTGAACAACAAAAAGATATGTTAATAACAAGTTAGATTTAATAAATCAGAAAAGAAGAATAAATGTAAATGTTTACCCGTTAATTCTGAAAAACTTTTATACCAAGATCTAGCACATATTAACGATTGCACACTTGATCGGAGAAGTTGGTTCCTATACTTGTTCAAAATACGAGAACCGATACTGAATGACAATTCTGAAGCCACCATAGTAATAGGAATGCTTAAAATATCGGCAGCCATAAGAGCAACATCGGGCATCCGATGTCTATTGTTTTTCCAATATCCCAAAACATCCATATCATGAAAATCCACCACTCTCAATCTTTCTTCATCTAAATAGATGTCCAAATAGGATCTTTCCCTTTCTCCTTCAACATCGGGATCATCCAAATCAAAGTAATTCTATAAATTTAAATAATAATGACTATTATAAAAAGTTCAAATTAAAAACTATTATAAAAATATATATATAAGATACTTACATCAAGTATATCAATCGTAGAAATACGATGAGATGAACTTGCACTTGGAATAGTAGCATATTGAGATGAACTTACATTTGATGTTGGAGTATGTTTGTCACTTACAATATTTTGATACTCCCTGTACAACATGTATAACTTGTTTTTGAGAAATTATAACTTCTCACTTGCATTCTCTCTATCAAGTTCATTCCAACAACGCCTCAAGAATGGTAACTTGGACCTCGAATCAAGTATGACACCCATAGCAAGTATAACGCTATAATGCTTCCAATATTTGTTGAACTTGTCTAGCATTCTCAAACTCATCATTCTAATATAAATCATCGCTACTAACCATGTTCTTCTTCAGCAACTTTTCAATCTTAAAAATCTATCCAAAATATAGATTTGAAGTACAGTAAGTTGAACCGGGCATCAAGACTGTAAATATTATAAAAATGGTTGTAGTAGCTCACATATTCTTTCCGCTCTACCTCATTCTTCATTCGAAGAACAATGCTTATAACATTTATCAACCGCTTTCAATCTAGCAAAAGCGCGTTGATACTTTAATACCTTTTCAAGCATAATAAACGCAAAGTTCTATCTAGTAGGACAATCCGTAGTTAAGACAATACTACCACTACCTTCTATGCAACTCTAAAAAACATTCATCCTTCCCTTTGAAATTTTCACAAACCTTACACTATCTCCTAATTTTAGATACAACATCACCAAGTGCTTTTAATCCATCTTGCACAATGAGATTAAATATATGTGCACAACATCTTATGTGGAAGAATTCTCCATCACACAATAAAATTGTTGTCTAAGCAAAGCCTCTCCTTCAAAATCTCTTGGCAACAATCACTTGCTGAAGCATTATCTAACGTAATGGTGAAAATCTTCTTCTTTATCCTCCATTCCTTCAGCAAGTCATGAATCTTAGAAGCTAAAGCTTCACCGGTGTGCGGAAGGGGCAAAATTTACATATTATTTTATAGTAAGGGTGTCTATTACGGTCCGAAGTTCGAAGCTCGGTCCGAGTCCACGCGAAAATGTTGGACTTTAGGTATTAATGTTTCCGTAAATAAATCGGACTTACGGATTGGGTTCAAATTGGACTTCGGGCCAATCCAAAAACACAATCATTTAAAAAAAATTTATAAAGGAATTGAACATGCCTATCTGTCCCTATCCGAATCCAAATTCGAAACCTTTGAACCGAGTACGGAGTCGGTTGGACTGACTTGATTGACTTTCGTATTTTATAGGTTAAAATTATGAGCAAGTTATTTTTTATTTGAAATATTCATATATAAATTAGCCATATAGAATAGAAATATTTATATATTACTTAGGAATGTTATAAAGTTTAATTTTTGGTCAAACAAATAAAAAAACTTAAAGGATAAAAAGCCTAAAATCGAGCTCGAGGTTGAACTTTATGTGTACTTGAAGTTCCTACATCGATCATTTATTTAACATTTCATGAAAAAAAAAAACAAAAATGGATGAGGACAGATAATGCATGCAGATAGTATTACATACAAAAATTATTTCAAATAAAATATCAACATATGATTTTTATGCGTTTAATTTATTTTTGAAACAACCTCACATTTACTTTGTAAATTTAAACATTATTTTGATTTTTAGGATATATATTATGAAAGGAAATGAAGTGAATTATTTCAAGATAGAACCGAATTTTAGTTAGAAAAAGCAAATTATTTAAAACAAAATATTACAAAAATTTAAATAAAATAAAGGGAGATTCACATATTAAATATTGAACTTTAACCAAATTTCCAAATTAAATACTCAACTATCTCATTTCCAAATTAAATACTCAACTATATTTAAACTTACAAATAAAAACCAAACTTAATTACACATTTATTTTCCACAAAATTAATTACACATTTATTTTATATATTTATATGTATATATATGTTTTATATATATGTGTGATATTTAGGAAAGATATACATATATCACACATATATATACATATAAATATATAACATAAATATGTAATTAATTTTGTTGCTTATAATAATTAATATATGTATATGAATGTGTATAATTTTTAAAATTTTAAAAGTAGGGTTTTTTTTGATAAAAAAAATATATGGTTTAAATTGCGACTAAAAAAAGTATAGGTTTTTTTTTTGGGATTATCCTTTAGATATATATGTTAAAATTTAAAAAAGTTTGGTTTTTATTTTTCAGTTTAAATATAGTTGAGTATTTAATTTTAAAATGAGATAGTTGAGTATTTAATTTGAAAATTTGGTTAAAGTTTAATATTTAATATGTGAATCTCCCTAAAATAAATAGTAAATGCCCTGAAATCTCCATTCCTAAAAACTAGGGGTGGGCAAAAATACCCGGATTTCGAGTACCCGACCCGACCCGAGGGTGGGGTATCCAAAAATTCGGGTATCCGAGCGAATGAGACATGAGATCGGGTATTGGTATTAGAATACCCGAATTTTCGGGTTCGGGTTCGGGTAATGGTTATTATCTCACGGGTACCCTCGGGTACCCGGATAATAAAAAAATATGTTTTAAAATTTAGATTTTTTATTAGATTTTATGTTATTTTATTTAATATTAATGATTATATAGATATTATTGGGATATAACTTTGATGTATTTTTTTAAAATAAAGTTATTTTAGATATAAATACAATTTAAATTTATTTTGAATGATTTTGTGTATGTATATATATATAAATATATTTAAAAATAATAATTGAAAAAATTACAAATATTCGGGTTCGGGTACTCTCGGGTACCCGGAAATTATCTTACGGGTTTTCGAATTCGGGTACTCGATTTTATGGGTATGAGATCGGGTAATAAAACATGTAACCCGAGATGTTCGGGTTCGGGTTCGGGTACCCTCAAATTTCCGGGTACCCGACCCGTGCCCACCCCTACTAAAAACCGCGGAGGAAAAGTTTAAATGACTTCATTTAATTGGAACTGCTAAGGTTATTTTTGTTTGAAATTAAAATTTTAATCTACAAATTGTGGGGAAATAGAATTGAAATGAAATCTTCATTTTTAGACTCGTCAGAGGTTAGATGATTAGAGATTAGAATGAGTAAAGTACATATTCAGCATTTGTAAAAATATATTGTTTTGGGTTCAATGGCGAAATTAATTGAAGTCTCGTTGGAGATTGTGCGGAAAGATCAAGGGTGATACGATATTATTGATGGATATTAGTAAAATATAAAAATAGGACTTGAGTGATTATTTAGTTGACATTTATTTTTATATATAGAAAAACATTCGGTTTATTTTTATTATATTCTCGATAAAAAAAAATGATATTTTTCTTTATTTTTATAAACTTTATCATAAATAGTCAATAAAATAAGTTTACTACTTGTTTCAATTATAAAAACAATATTCATTGTGATCAAAATTTCTAGGATTTTAGATCTATATACAAGATAAATCTATAATCATAATAAAAGTATTAAATATTATGAAACAGTATAAATATTTCATTTGAAATTTTATTTTTGATATAATTTTATTAAAAATATGAATATTTTAATTATTATGTTGAATACGAATAAGTATTTTACTTTTACAGGTAAATTATAAAACAAAATTCAGTTATTATTTTATATTATTATTATTATTATTTTAAAATTCTAAGTAATCGGGGTACCAATTAGAAAATGTTTTGGTATCTACGTATGTATTTTTAATAATTCTTATATTTTTTTTATATAGTTTTATTTCTTACTTAAAATAAAATATGAAAATGTATTTCAGAAGGAAAATGAAGATAGATGGAAAATGAAATTTGACTTGTGTCGTTTTCTCGTTTACAAAATTTCTACCCAATATTCTATAATTTATTTTTTCGTTTTTAGGATATTTTGAAAACATTAAAGGAGAAAAATTTATTTGTAAAAAATAATCTCAACGAAATTCAGATAAGATGTAAAAAAGATTTTTTTTTTGGTCAAAGATGTTATAAGATTTGGGATATATACAAAGATCACGGACGAAATTTAATAACTAACTTTTTACCGACTACATTAACAAATGATTCGGAACAAAACGAACAAGTGATTGGACTTAGATATACAAAATATATAACATGATATATGAAAAATTCTATACAATATATATATACACACATATTGGATAGAAGAAGAATAATAATAATAGTGTATTCTCTATTCCTATAATTCCGTTCTTTATTTGTAAATGAAATGAACCAGATTACAACTTTTGATTTCTTCATTTCCGGATTTTGAATGCGTTTCGTAAAGTCTGAAATTTAAAACAAAAAATAGAGAGAAATATTCATGGCGTCTGCATTTTGCAGTTATAAAACAGCGTCCTTTTGGCTACGTGATCAACAATGGCACCTTCTTTCAAACTCGCTTCGCTCTCTTCCAATAATCGATCATTGCCCAAATCCGTTTCTCCCACCACCGGAGACGACAAATCTACGTCGAATCCCTTAGATTTTCCGGCGAGTTTCATCGAATCGGCGCGTTGCAGAGCTCCGAAGACGCTCTTCTTGATCCTCGTTTCTCTCTCCGCCTTCGGATTCTTCTCTCTCTATTGTTCTCCAAACGCGATCTCACACGTCGCCTTCATCGCCAATCGACCCGCCGAATTTGGTCTCGTCAATTACGCGACTCGCGATACAGGGACCGATCCCGACGACTCCATTCCGCCGAGTCACCATCATAATCAACACCATTCGATTGTCTCTCTCGCGACTTCGGGCCGCCGGATCAGGTCCGACGCCGTTCTGTGGCCGGGATGGGAGATTCTGGTGATCGTTTCGCCGGAGGAGAAGGTTATGCCGCCGATTCCGGCGGAGAATTACACCTGCGTTTACCCTAACGGCGAGAATCCTCCGGCTAGATTCACGGCGGTACTGCCGTTCATGAACCGTACGGTTTTCCGGTGTAGCCTCCCCGGAATCTACCGCCACCATCATCCGATCCCGACGCCGATCCTTGCTTCGTCACCGTCGTTCAACCTCCCGTCGGAGACGCAGTGGTTGGATCTCCCGCTCTGGAATTTCGTCGTATTCGAAGCGATCTCCACGGAAACCGACGTCGTCGTTCTCGTCAAGGGGCCAAATCGTGGACTCGGATCGAACAAACCGCCAGAGACTTACAGGTGCGTGTTCGGCAAAGATTCGAAAACCCTAGCCGCAGCGAGAACCGCCGTGACGAGCTCCGTGCAGGAGGTTTTCCGTTGTTCTCACCCGAACCGAACGTTCGAAATGCCGGTGAAAATCTCTCTTGAATCCGCGACGGCGACGGTGAAGAACGTACCTTCGGTAGCGTATTATACTCCACCGAGGCGTACGATAGCGGAGACGCGTGGCAAGTCACTATTGTGCGCCACAACGATGGTGTACAACGTGGCGAAGTTCCTGAGGGAGTGGGTGATGTACCACGCGAGGATTGGAATACAGAGGTTCATCATATACGACAACGAGAGCGATGACGACATAAACGATGTCGTTCAAGGTCTCAACCACGACGGATACGACGTCGTAAAGGTTCTTTGGATTTGGCCCAAGACTCAGGAGGCTGGGTTCTCCCACTCCGCGGTGTACGGTAACCAATCATGCACCTGGATGATGTACCTCGACGTGGACGAGTTCCTATTCTCCCCCATGTGGCGGAATCAATCTCGACCGTCGGATCGTCTGATCAGATCGCTCCTCCCTGGGCGTGGGATCGGCCAGGTGTCGTTCAAATCCTACGAGTTTGGGCCCTCTAACCAGACCGTGAACCCTCCACATGGCGTCACTCAGGGTTACACGTGTCGACGTGTGGAGGAGCAACGACACAAGTCTATAGTGAGGCTAGACGCAGTAGATCACTCCCTCTACACGGCGATCCACCACTTCGGGCTCAACAACGGATCACGATGGCGCGTGATGGAGACGACCGTCGCCGCCGTGAACCACTACAAGTACCAAGCGTGGGAAGAGTTCAAGTCGAAATTCCGGCGACGGGTGTCAGCCTACGTGGTCGACTGGACGCGGGTTTCGAATCCGAAGTCTAGGGATCGGACGCCCGGTTTGGGCTTTAGGCCCATTGAGCCGAAGGGATGGGCCAACAAGTTTTGTGAAGTGAAGGATGATAGGTTGAGGAAGCTGACCCGGAAATGGTTCGGCTATCCAGAGGGAAACGGCTACAGAATGGCGTGGCAAATATGAGATTCTGTAGAGAGATGAGGGGTAATTGTGTAATTACGGGAGTTCGATATTTTTTTTTTGCGCTCTTGTAAAGAAAATTGAAATTTTGGGAAGGATAGAAAGATATTTTTAAAATAATGTGCGAATTCAGAAGATCTTATTGTTAGGTGTATAACGTTCGGTTGCAGTAATAAACAGAAAATTCAACGTCGAATTATTTATTTATTTTATATTTTATATTTTTTCCTCCAGATATTGAAGACATGAAGAGCTGAAGATGATTAGGTTACACTTTGTTCCTCTGCAGAATCTGATAGTGACGAAGGAGTTCGGACATGGCGGATTCATTACAAGAACCAAACAACATCTCATGGGCGTTGTTAGAGCTTCTGAGAGAGATTCAGCAGAGAAGTTCCAAGTCGACATAGACAAAGCCAAAGCAGCTCTTGAACAGCTGGACCAGCAAATTCAATCTCTTTCCAATCAACAACCCTCCTCTCCCAAAATCAAGGGTCTCTCTCTCTCTCTCTGGAAGATGTTTCTGGTTGCTCGAATTAAATTTTGCTTGAGTTGATTGATTCACTGCAGGTTTAGATCCTAGACGTAGAGGAGCATTGCTGTTTAGGGATTTGAAGCGAGGTTAGGGGAGTAATTATGAAATCATCGAGTCTTTATAAGAATAACCGCGGGAGAATAGTGAAAGTTTCAGATTCAACAGCTTACAGATGAAGTTATTGGAAGCAAAAGGGATCAAGTCTAAGTAGGTTCCGTTAAGGATTGGAGAATTCAGCAGGGCCATAACGTGTTCATATCACCTGCTGCAGTTTATGGTTTTGGACTTTGAAAGTTAGATTATGTTGTTGTTTTCCAAGAAAAAGTCGGAGTTTGATTAGCGGATTTAAAGATAAACTCGGTGGTGAATTTCGGTAGCACTCTGTAATGTTCTGGACTTCTTTTGTTGCAGCGTCTGATGTTAAGTTCAGGACTGATCCGAGAATCCCCGAAGAACCATTTGAGATCTCCGAGTCATTCTTGGCGGCTTCGGCTTTTGTCCTCTTGGCTTTCACCATCCTCTACAATGTCTTATTCTACGCAGTGATAAAGCCATCCATAGATGGACCGGAACCAGCTCCCGCTTCTCTTGAAGGCAGAGCTCCCATCTCTGATCCCGCGTTTCTGCGTTTTTCTCCATCACCGATACCCGAAAACGTCTTGCAAAGTTCAGACAACGAGTAGGATCTTCTTGTTTCTAAAGAGAGCGATGAGTGCATCTATTCGGTTGTTCTTTTCAAATGTAATATTGTTCTTCGTTTTAAGGGTTTCTTCGATTTGAAGGCAAACGCCCCAACAAGAGAAAACCAATGTGTATATATGCTCTAATCAGAACAGCGTGTTCTTCTCTTCCGGATATACAATCAAATTCGACAAAATGTGATTTGATTGCACATACACAAGTTAATAATAATAATGACGAGTCGTAACAGTGGAGAAGGTGGATCAGTATTTTTGTGGCCTAAGCCCCTCGGAACTCAGAGAAAGCATCTAGGAGTATATCACCTAAACGCCAAGAATACAGATGAGGGATCCTAGAACGGAACATGCACCATCTCGAGGTCGTTGTGGTTGTCTTTCGCAGAGGGCGATGAAGATGATAATGCAAGCAGTATTTGTTAAACGTTACCTTGACATGGTACCTCCTCTGGAGTTCTTGGCGGAACAAGCCAGAGTAGATACCACACATCCACCAAGCAAAGAACAGACCTTCGCATATCACAACTGTTGTTTGAGGGTCCAATTCGGTCGCTGCCGCGATTGCCATACTGCCCTCGACGCATATGGCATGGCATACAATGGTTGCGTCCAAGGAATCTCTTCTCTCAATGATTCTATGTTACGCCTAAACAAGAACACATGGGCAAAAGAGTCCGGTCCAGCCTGCACCCCAGAAACAAATGTAAAATCGTGCGAATGTAATTCCCTTTGGCAGTTATCTACTTGAATCTCTCTGAACTGAAAGTCCATGAAAAAACGCTTTAATTAGAGATGTTCTGTCCGTGTATATCTAAGGAGAACATGAAATGCAAGTAATATTGTGTCAAATCTCCATGATTCTCTATCAACAATCTTCATGAGTAACCTGTTGATTCCAGGACATGATCACAGATAAACTAAACGTTTCTAAAGCCATTAGCCTCAGCATGGCCTCTGACCAAACGACCAGCAGAACATTCAAAAGGGAAGAAACTGAATGTCAGGCATGATCTGGGTTTAAATTTACCCAAACTGCCCAAGAATGAAACATTATGCACCTGGAAAAGGAAACACAGATCTTCTGGGCAGCTGATCCCACAATACAGGGCCAGCAAGAGCGGCTCTGAACAACTTACCTGCTGCTGCAAGTCTCATGAATACACTTAGAATAAATTAAGTAGCATATGCAATATGAAGATCAAGGTTTGTTAGAGCTCACAAAAAGGAAATCTCTAGAAACCCTGCTCTACTCGTTCTTCCAAGCATACAAAATCAATGAGAAACCAAAACTTTGAGATTTGGTGTCTATCAGGCTGTGTGAGAAAGACCAGGCCTTCTCAGCATATTGACATGTCCTGAACATTAACACAGCATTTCCTGCCAATGGGATCCCGAAGAGCCAACCGTGAACATCCCATAGAGCTTCCACAGCCATTCTATCGATAATTATCGGGTCGTTACCACAGAACTTCACTTAAGACGCTTCACCTGCATCATGGTTTTTCCATTCACACGAACAATGAGGCAAGGATCACTGACACTGGTGTCACATTCAATCACCAGATCATGCATTTTACCGTAACCAGAAAACTGAGCCTTCGCTGCAAACACTCTCTTACCAAATACATGCTCTTTCTTGGCCACGAACAATGCACTTGAAGATGAAGGTGTGGCATTCGTCTTCTTGAAAGCTTCCTTATTCATATCATCCAGAAGGAGGATCATTTCTTTGTCCACAACAACGCCCACATAGAAACCTGCCAAGGGTTCAGGTCCGGATCCGAATTTCGCATATGAGAGACCCCAAAAGATATCGACTTTACAGGAATATGCCTCTAGACCCTTTTCATTTTGTGAACAACCACGGCTTAATCTCGACTTTACACAGACTTTGGTTACAAGAATCATCAACTCCCACTGTCAAGCCTTGACCAATCAGATTCTCCGTCTCTGTGACTGTGATCAAGCAAGTTCTGCCACAAATGCGACACTGGTAGATGCAAGTAACCAAATTCTGGGCGTTTTTACCGGCATTCGAAGACAAAGAATCTGCAACTTGAACACCATTTTCAGCAAAACAAGAAGGAAAATCCCTCATTCCTGAAACTTTGAATTCCAGCCTCTCTCCGGCTTTTCGACAAACACCTGGTGGTCAACTGCTCAACCCCACCGCAGATTTGCCTCAGACAGTGACATAAATAGTAACGGACCTGTAAGAGAATAAGATAACCAGAGATATTGTAGAATTTACCAGAAACTGACGAATTTCATCCAAGCAGGGGAAAACCCGACTCAGAATTGCTCCGGAATCTTCAAAATCTCAAAAGAGTTGATCTGGGTTTTCTCAATTCGATCCGTGTTCAACAGGGAAATCCATTAACCAATATTTTTTTTTGGAGAGAGAGAGGTTCAAAGCAACCTCGTCTTCCAACTCCCAACTCGCGTTCCACAACCGATCCATCTCTCGTTTTCCAGAACTCCGAAAAAAACTGGGAAGATTTGTTCGATCGCTTGCACTCCACTCCACGAAAGTCATTGATTTCCAGAGGTCGAATTTCATCAATCTTGCTAATTATCCCAAATTCCTTTCACTCATACATCTTATCTTGAATGCATTTCTATTCAGAGTTTTTCGAATTTTAAAAAACATGGCAAAAAAACCAGCTGGTTTTTCAAAATTTGATGCAAGGAAACGAAATGGAAACAAAAACAGCTGTCATTAGCGCTAACGGTAATATTAGTACTTAAATATACTCATCGTTTGCGATCAACAATGGCGAGCAAGAAACCCAGGTCCAAAGAATCCAAGGCAAAGGAGACGGCTTTTGCGAAGAGAGTTCAGACCCTTAAGAACAAAGCTAGAGAGCTCTCCGTTCTTTGCGATATCTCTGTCTGCTTCATCTGCTACGGTCCCGACGGCCAACTTTATCACTGGCCCGAGAATCCCGGAGATGTCCGTACGATCGCGACGAGTTACAGGGCGTTGAGCGAAGAGAATCGACGGAAACGCACTGTTGATTTGAACGCATTCCTGGCCTCTGAGAACAGCAAGACCGAACGCCCCAAGAAGAAACGGAGGCTTGCGTCGGAGGAACCTGTTTGTGACGAGGCATCGAACCAGCAGCACTCGCGTGAGGATCTTAGGGTTTTGCTGTCTCGGATTGACTCTAAATTGGAAGAATTTCATGGCAGATTGAGTCATAAGATGGTTCGAGGTGAACAGCCGAGAGGCTTCGAGGGTTTCAGTGGCAAGAAAGATACTGTATTTGTGGAACCGGAGGCGACTCCAATACTGGGAGAAGAAAACAGGGCTGAGATCGATGTTTTTGGAGGTTTGGCAGACTTGGATATGGGGTTTGAAGGATTCGGACATCAGAGTTCTTGTTTCGGCTTCGGTGATTGTCTGTTGGAGATGGATCCGACACTTTTTTGCCACGGATCCAGTTCTGCAGTTCGAACAAATTGCATGAGAGACTAGAAATTCTTGGATTCTTAGGGTTTTGGGTTTCCTCCTCGGGAATCAAAACTGTGTAAATTTCATGAACAGAGATGATTTGTTGGCATCATTCTCCCCATGACCTCTAATCCTTGTAGGTTTTTTTACGACTAATGTTTCTTTTACAAGTTGTTGTCTGTAACATGTTTCAGTAGAGAAAGCAAAGTCTTAACAATTTGTCATTTTCAGACAGAAATTCCCTCTTGTTTTGTCAATTTAGAAGTCTTCTTCCAATCTGAACTGTTTTCTGTGTTTACGTGTGACCCAATCGACGACTATCCCGAGTTCTCCGGAGAGAAAAGCAGGACAACACTTGGTCTTAATTTCAAGAATTCCAAAATGACCCCTAACGTTTCCAAAATTCCAAATTTATCCCCCAACGCTTTTTCATAAACCCCACGCCCTGGCCGAACCTTTATCGTCTCTCTGTTTCCTTCACGAGTCTGTCTTTCTCTTCATATTTAGCTTCGAAGATTAGGAATTTTTCCTCATGACTCGTGGTCTCTTCTTCATCGTGGCTTCCATGATTTGGCATTTTCATCGTCATCTCCTCCTCACAACTGCCTCCCTCCGCTTCACCCAAAGGATCTGATTTGGGCTTTTGCTCTGTTAGTCCTCTCCCAAGATTTTTTTTTCCTTTGCCTCTGGAAATGATTTTTGCTCGCTGGAATGCCCATTTCACGGTAATGGGTCAACTGCGTTTTGCAATAAGAAGGGTGGAACATCGCAAGAAAAGTGTTTGATGAAATGCTTGAATGAAATGACTTCTCTTTTGAATTTAAGGTTTAGTATTTTGTATGAGGAAGTTGTTGCAAACTGAGAAGTGGTTTCAATGTGTAAGCTGCCTCTTACAACACGTGAAACCTTAAGGGAATTAGTATTTTTCTCATTATAAGATCCCAAGAGTTGCATGAAACTTTGTATTTGTTTGAGAACGTAATATGTATGCGGCCAAATTCAACTTTTTGTTTTGGCTTCAGGTGATCCTCTCCGTGGCATGATGAGTTACTCTTTGATAGTTTGATGTCTTATTCGGGTTCTATCTGTTTTCTGGTCTGATGGCGACACCTATCCGTAGATTCCTTGGGTTTCATCTTTCGTCTGGTCCGATGAGGTATGACTTACCTCATCTCAGTTCTCTTTTCTCGCTTTACCGATTTTCGACGATGGACCTCCGATCAGCTTTCTCAGAACGGGAAGAATCATCAAATCATACTATCCTAGACGAACGATATGTTCTTGGGGAACTTTCAAACCTGCTTCCGATCTCATGTAAAACGTCAATAGCGACAACCTTGGAGAAGGACAGTAGTTCCAGGAATCAAGTAGCTATAAGAGCAGCTGATGCATTTTTGTCCCCAGAAGACAAACTCAGAGGTGTGTTTCTTCAGAATTTGAGAGGGAGAACAGCCGTAGAGAAGGCCTTAACCGATGTTGATATTAATTTAAGTATTGATATTGTGGCCAATGTTGTCAACAAAGGGAATCTGAGTGGTGAAGAAATGGTTACTTTCTTCAATTGGGCAATTCGTGAACATGGTATATCTAAAGATGTGGATATCTGTAATGTGATTCTAAGAGCGCTGGGAAGGAGAAAGTTTTTCTCACACACGATGGATCTGTTGCGGCGAATGGCATTCGAAGGGGTTAACCCCAACCTGCAGAGCTTAACTATTGTTATGGATTACTTTATCAGGGCTAATTACGTGCAGAGGGCACTGAAACTGTTTGAAGAATGTGAAGAGTTTGGGGTCCAATGTGATACCGAGCTTTTGAACAAACTCTTACGGTGTCTCTGTGAACGTTTGCAGACACACTTGAGATGTTTGAAGAGATGTTGTCACGTGGTATCGCTCCAACCACGGGGGTCACCACTTCTTTCCTTAAACCGCTATGTAGCTATGGTCCACCTCACGCTGCATTGGTTTTCTATCAAAAAGCAAGAAAAGCGGGTTGCAGCATATCGCAGAGCGCTTATAAACTGTTGCTTCGAGGCTATCGAGATTTGGGAAATGCGGGACATTGTTAAACGTGTGGGACGAGATGCAAGAGAGTGGTTATGCTTGCGATGTGCGAGTATATGAGTACATAGTTGATTGACTATGCAACATTGGGCATCTGGAAAACGCTGTCCTTGTGATGGAAGAGGCAATCCGAAAGGGATTTTGCCCGAACCGGCTTGTTTATAGCAGACTGAGCAACAAACTCATGGCTTCTAACAAAACAGAGATGGCCTATAAACTGTTTCTAAGTATTAAAGAGGCTCGAGGTCGGGAAAATGCCCGCAGATATTGGAGGTCGAACGGATGGCACTTTTAAGCTTAATGTTTCATCTTTTGTTGGTTTAAAGGGGTGGCATTTTCTTTCAGCAAGTTGATATTTTGAGACAGAAACAAGTTGAACAAAATCAGACCACGTAGTCACCGACAACCTCGGCTTCCAAATCCCAACTCCCAAAAAAACTGGGAAGATTCGTTCGATCGCTTGCACTCCACGAAAGTGATTATTGACTTCGAAAGGTCAAATTCCCTCTTGGATTTTGGCTCGAATTTCATCCATCTGGCTAATAATCCCAAATTCCTTTCTCCCAGACATCTTATCTGAATGAATTTCCATTCAGTGGTTTTTTAGGTTTTCAAAATATCTCAATTTCAAAATTTGATGAACGAATTTTAAAAAACCAGCTGGTTTTTGAAAATCTGATGCAAGGAAACGAAATGGAAACAAGAACAGCTGTCATTAGCGCTAACGGTAACATTAATAATTAAATACATCCGAAGCGAAATTGGGTCATCGTTTGCGATCAACAATGGCGAGCAAGAAACCCAGGTCCAAAGAATCCAAGGCAAAGGAGACGGCTTTTGCGAAGAGAGTTCAGACCCTTAAGAACAAAGCTAGAGAGCTCTCCGTTCTTTGCGATATCTCTGTCTGCTTCATCTGCTACGGTCCCGACGGCCAACTTTATCACTGGCCCGAGAATCCCGGAGATGTCCGTACGATCGCGACGAGTTACAGGGCGTTGAGCGAAGAGAATCGACGGAAACGCACTGTTGATTTGAACGCATTCCTGGCCTCTGAGAACAGCAAGACCGAACGCCCCAAGAAGAAACGGAGGCTTGCGTCGGAGGAACCTGTTTGTGACGAGGCATCGAACCAGCAGCACTCGCGTGAGGATCTTAGGGTTTTGCTGTCTCGGATTGACTCTAAATTGGAAGAATTTCATGGCAGATTGAGTCAGAAGATGGTTCGAGGTGAACAGCCGAGAGGCTTCGAGGGTTTCAGTGGCAAGAAAGATACTGTATTTGTGGAACCGGAGGCGACTCCAATACTGGGAGAAGAAAACAGGGCTGAGATCGATGTTTTTGGAGGTTTGGCAGATTTGGATATGGGGTTTGAAGGATTCGGACATCAGAGTTCTTGTTTCGGCTTCGGTGATTGTCTGTTGGAGATGGATCCGACACTTTTTGCCACGGATCCAGTTCTGCAGTTCGAACAAATTGCATGAGAGACTAGAAATTCTTGGATTCTTAGGGTTTTGGGTTTCCTCCTCGGGAATCAAAACTGTGTAAATTTCATGAACAGAGATGATTTGTTGGTATCATTCTCCCTATGACCTCTAATCCTTGTAGGTTTTTGGACGACTAATGTTTCTTTTACAAGCTGTTGTCTCTGTAACGTTTTTCATAAGAGAAAGCAAAGTCTTAACAATTTGTCAATTTCAGACAGAAATTCCCTCTTGTTTTGTTGAAACAACCAATGTAGATATCTTCTCTCTGTTTCCTTCAAGAGTCCGTCTTGCTCTTCATATTGGCTTTGAAGATTTAGAATTTCTCCTCATAACTCGTGGTCTCTTCTTCATCGTGGATCAGCTTAGTTCGAGGTTTTGACTATCCGATTAAACCGAATTAAGTTAAAAATTATCTTACTTAACTTGAGGTTAAGGTGGACATGTCGTTTCGATCCCAAAAAACTGAACTGATTAATACGGTATTTTTTTTCAATCCGAAATGTTCTAAATTTTCAAACAGTAACCTAATTTTCTGAAAGAAGAGAATTCAACTTTAAAAAATCCTAACAAAAAAAGAAGGTATTAAAAAAAAATATTTTTTTTAATAAAAATTGAAACGGAAACGAATCAAAACCGAACATGGATTGATTCCAAACAAACGCCCACCGCTGACTTTAGGTTAGATGTAATCTTTTCCCAGTTTCTCTTCTGTCGACATTCGACAAACTTCTCCTCCATCTCTGTAGGTCTCGAGCTCCACCCTGCCATTGCCGAAGCCAAGCTCTGCTTCTTCCCTCAAGCTCGAATCCTTCCTATCCGTCGCCGACGTTCGCTTCTGAGGTTTGCGTCGCCTCTCTCTCTCTGAATCTCGTCGTCGTCGTTCGTCTTCATTTCCCTCCTCTGTGATTTCGTCTTCTCCTTCTGTCGATCTCGTGCTCGTCGGCGGCGGCTCTCTCTGATTTCTGTCCTCTTTATGTGACTTAGTCTTGTCCATGTGCCGAATCCGATTGTTACTTGTGAGAATCGATAGTTAATCTGTGAGAGTATCTCAAGCGTTAATTACAGACATGGAAACATGGACAGGAAGCTCTGAGCATTGGATCATGTGATTACAGACAACATAATTGATGGCGTTTGTACAAATGTTGGAACGATTCTTTGTTTGTTATTGGCAGAATAGAGTAGGCTTTATACGTAACCTTTTTCGTCCATAAACATGTGCATAACTTGCAAAATTTCTCAGAACTCTTGTAGAGGAAATTGAAATTTTGGGAACGGTAAAAAGAAAATTCAACGTCAAATTATTTATTTATTTTATATTTTTTTCAACCAGATATTGGAGGCGTGGAGAACTGAAGATGATTAAGTTGCACTTTGTTCCTCTGGAATGATTTTTGCTCGCCGGAATACCCATTTCACGGTAAGTACAGTTTTGCAATTGAGCCCATGGAACAGCGCAAGTACAGTGTTTGATGAAATGCTTGAATGAAATGATTTCTCTTTGACTTTAAGGTTTAGGGTTTAGTTATTGGCTTTTAACAATTGGATCAGGTCTAGTATTTTGCATGGGGAAGTTGTTGCAAACTGAGAAATGATTTCAATGGGTCAAGAGGAGGAAGCTCTGGTTGTGTAAGCTGCCTTTGACAACACATGAAACCTGAAAGGAATTAGTATTTTTCTCATTATAAAATCTCTGAAGTTGCGTGAAACTTTGTATTTATCTGAGAACATAATGTGCATGAGACCAAATTTATGTTGGAAGGGTAGTATTGATTTTAAAAGAGGGAGAGGCATGCACAGATGTAAGAAAGAGGTTGTGTCAACAACTTGGCATGAGAGAATCAAATTTAGGAGGAGTGTTGGAAGGATAATCTTGATTAACTAGAAGGATTCAAAGTCAAGGATGGCATTTTCAAGAAGTTTGCAAGAGTTTGATTGTATTGAATTTGCATGGGAAATGAGGTTTAAATACTTATGTGGGTAGAATAGTACTTGAGAGTTCAGTGATGTGTAGGAGAAAAAACACAACAAATGCATGAGAAAAAAGAAAAAGAAAAAGAGCTGTGTATAGAGAATGAATAGAAGAAAAGATTCTGTGAGAATTACTTGAGAATTCGGGATCGGGAAATAGTTTTGGAGTTGCCATCTTACAAAGTTCTATTAAGAGCTAATAATTTAACCTTTTGGTTTCCTTTGGTTTGGCTTCAGGTGATTCTCTCTATGGCATGATGAGTTACTCTTTGATGTCTTATTCGGGTTCTATCTGTTTTCTGGTCTAATGCCGGCACCTACCTGTAGATTCCTTGGGTTTCATCTTTCGTCGGGTCCGATGAGGTATTACTTACCTCATCTCAGTTCTCTTTTCTCATTGTACCGATCTTCGACAATGGACCTCCGATCAGCTTTCTCAGAAAGGGAAGAATCATCAAATCATACTGTCCTGGATGAACGATATGTTCTTGGGGAACTTTCTAACCTGCTTCCGACATCACGTAAAACCTCAATAGCAACCTTAGAGAAGGATAGTAGTTCCAGGAATCAAGTAGCTATAAGAGCAGCTGATGCATTTTTGTCCCCAGAAGACAAACTTAGAGGTGTGTTTCTTCAGAAATTGAAAGGGAAAGCAGCCATAGAGAAGGCCTTAACCGATGTTGGTATTGATTTGAGTATTGATATTGTGGCCAATGTTGTCAACAGAGGGAATCTGAGTGGTGAAGAAATGGTAACTTTCTTCAATTGGGCAATTCGTGAACATGGTGTACCTAAAGATGTGGATATCTGTAATGTGATTCTAAGAGCGCTGGGAAGGAGAAAGTTTTTCTCACACATGATGGATCTGTTGTGGGGAATGGCATTCGAAAGGGTTAACCCCAACCTGCAGAGCGTAACTATCGTTATGGATTACTTTATCAGGGCTAATTACGTGCAAAGGGCACTGAAACTGTTTGAAGAAAGTGAAGAGTTTGGGGTCCAATGTAATACCGAGCTTTTGAACAAACTCTTACGGTGTCTCTGTGAACGTTTGCACGTCGGTTCTGCAAACACGTCGTTCAATTCAAAGAAAGGGAAGATACCATTCGATAACTCGACTTATAACACTCTGATCAGTGGGTGGTCGAAGCTTGGTGATATTGAGCAAATGGAGAAGATTTTGAGGGAGATGGTGGAGGCTGGACTCAATCCCGACTGTTTGACATTCAGCCACCTTATCGAAGGGTTAGGGAGAGCTGGTAGAATGGACGATGCTGTTGAGATCTTTGATCACATTAAAGAAAAGGGTATTGTTCCCAACACAAGTGTGTACAACGCCATGATCTCTAATTTCATTTCTTCTCGAGATTTCGATGAATCAATGAGGTATTACAAAAGGATGTTGGATAATGGGTGTGAGCCAGACTTGGATACCTACACCAAGCTTATTTTGGGGTTCATCAAAGCCCGAAGAGTTGCAGACACGCTTGAGATGTTTGAAGAGATGTTATCACGTGGTATCGCTCCCACCACAGGGGTCATCACTTCTTTCCTTAAACCGCTATGTAGCTATGGTCCACCACACGCTGCATTGGTTATCTATCAGAAAGCAAGAAAAGCGGGTTGCAGAATATCGCAGAGCGCTTATAAGCTGTTGCTTCAGAGACTATCGAGATTTGGGAAATGCGGGACATTGTTAAACGTGTGGGACGAGATGCAAGAGAGCGGTTATGCTTGCGATGTGGAAGTATATGAGTACATTGTTGATGGTTTATGCAACATTGGGCATCTGGAAAACGCTGTGCTTGTGATGGAAGAGGCAATTCGAAAGGGATTTTGCCCGAACCGGCTTGTTTATAGCAGACTGAGCAACAAACTCATGGCTTCGAACAAAACTGAGATGGCTTATAAGCTGTTTCTAAAGATTAAAGAGGCTCGAGGTCGGGAAAATGCCCGCAGATATTGGCGGTCAAATGGATGGCATTTTTGAGCTTATAAGCTGTTTCATCTTTTGTTAGTTCAAAAGGGTGGCATTTTCGTTCAGCAAGTTGATATTTTGAGACAGGAACAAATTGAACAAAAGCAGACAAATTCTGAGTATGACAAGCTCTAGAGCATCTTGGGAATGTGACAAGATCCTTGAAGATGTCCGACTCTTCGTTGGTTATAGGAGAAACATCCGAGACAGAGAATAAGAATAAGTTTCTTGAGAACTGCTGGAACTGCCTTACCTCACTAGATTCACTCCTGCTGCTTCTTTCAGGATATAGCAACGTCAGAGGGATCTGAGCCAAAAAAGAATCATGGGTCTATTAAACGAATCCCACCAAGATTCGGACAGCTCTGAAGGGATAATATAGTTCTCGACGAAAGAGGAACACCAAGTCTTTATGGTCCAGGAATCCTGGACGGTACTCAGTCGTCCATACTGATGATCAAGAACAGGCTTGTGCAAGTTCAGAGGCATGCCAAAGTTGAACGGATCAATATGAACATAAAGCCCTTCCCTTGTTGTTGTCTCTCTTCTCCAGGCAACCTTCTGATAGATCTCTCGGGCACAGAGCATAAAACCAGAGAGTGTTCTCCATCTCTTTTTGTCTTGTCCTGACCCAATCTTTTCTTGTTGGTTTTAACAAATTCTCTCCAATTTTTTTCCATGGATAAATTGATCGTTTAGTATGAAAGAAAAGGACTCCCTAATTTGTTAACACCATATTCTAGGGTTTTGAACCAAACCATTTGGTTTTTTTTTATGTTAGTAATGGATTGGGTTAATCCAACCCATTAATTCATATAACCCAAATGGGTTGCATCCAAATGGGTTGGATTACCCATTTTGACAACTCTAGATGATGATGATGATTATAGTAATTGTGTACATATATATGGGTGTATATATAAATATAAGTGTGTTATATATATGGGAATATGTATTTTTCTATTTAAAACTTTTTTTTAAAAAAAAATTATTCTCTTAAACTTTTTTGTAATGGTTGATATGGCTTTTTGGTGATAAGGTGCCACCGTGTTGTAAAACATAGATCTTCCGACATAATAAAAAAAACTATTACGAGATTAATGTAATTAAACTTCGTGTAGTAATTTGAGAAAATTAGTATATTTTTTAAGAGATTACAAATTTATATATTTTATTAATAAATTATTTTCCAATAAGAAAAATTTTATAAATTTTTAGGTTTTGAATTGATTCTAATTTTCTGTACAAACGAATTATTTAGTCAAGTTAGAGAGTCGTTGCGGTGGATATTTCCAGTTAGATTGTTAAAGATTTTATTGATGGATTGATAAAATATTTTTTTAAAGTATATATTAAATATTCAATTGAGAGAGATTAAAATATATGTACTATTAAAGAATTGATTTTAAATAGGTGTAATGTTTTGATAAAAAGACAAATAATTTTAAATTTTAAAAAGGGACATTATCAAATACCCTGCTTTACTATTTTAATATCAACATTTATTCTTTTCCAACCATGATCCATATGATAAAAAAATATAGTCTGATCACATGCTTATTTTATTGATAATAACGTATAATTTATAATGTTTTTATCAATTAATGAAAGAAAAATCGTATATAAATATCTGAACTTTTACAAAAATCCCACATAAATACCCGAACTATAAACTTTTCATATGAATATCTGAACCTTTCTAAAATCCTATATAAATACCTACACTTCAGAAAAACTCCCAAATAAACCTAAACTATATTAATAATATCACCTATTTTTATTTGAAAATTACTTGAAATTTGTATTTATTTGGATTTTTTTTTAAAATCTAGGTATTTATATAGGATTTTTAAAAGTTCAGGTATTTACATAAAAATCTTATAGTTCAGGTATTTATATAAGATTTTTGTAAAAGTTGAAGTATTTATATGTTAATTTTCCAATAATTAATGAGATATATAAGGAAAGAACATAATAAATTAATGTGATCGCCATAAATTTAACGTTATGATCAATATGATCAATATATATCTAATCATATGGATGATAGGATCACACTATATCATATATTGTAGTCAAAATAATAAAAAAAAATATTTTTGATATAATGATTTAAAAATAGGCATCTAAAAAATTAGGTAATAACCGCGCATATCGCGCGGACTACAAATACTTAATGATTTTTAAAATTTATTATTATTTTTAAAATAAAATATATTATATTTTTTTTTTAATTTATAAATCAAAATGATAGATATTTTTTTGAAAATATCAAAATAACGATATAAATCATTTTTAAAAGGAATTGTGAATATCGTCTATATTTATATTTTTATAGGTTATAAGTAAAATTAAGAGTTGAAATGTGAAATATTAGAATAATATTTTTAGAAATTTTATGGCTCGATTAAAGAGTTTTATTTTTTTAAAATCGAGAGATATCCAAAGAAAGTGATAGTCGTGGAGTACGATAAATACAATTTAAATAATATTATAAATTAAGTTGGTATTACAAATCAAATAATAATATATTGAGTTTAATAATAATTCACAATAAAACCTTGGTATAATTTTTAAACTATATAATCTTAACAATATTGAAATTTTATAGATTTATATTTAATTTAGCCATATTAGTGAAATAAAATACTATTCCTATGACTCTTTTATTTGTCCTATTATATTCTATATTTATGTATTATTTTTTTACGGACTAAGATTTGGTCACTTTAATGTTAAAAAATTAAAAACTAAGACTATATAATATTTATGTGCTATATATATTTTATCATAATAATACTGATTCAACAACCCATATGAAATCAATCCACTTCTATTTTATCACAATAATATTAGTTCAATAAACCGTATGAAATTAATTCACTTCTAGTTTATGTTTTTGTGTGTAAAAAAATATTATCAGTCTCCAAATAATAAATAATAAAAAAACTTATATTATTTACATTATAGAAAATAATTTTATTTGGAAAGATGAGTTATCTTAATATTTTTTTTCACTCTGATAAAATATCTTACTAACCAAACAAAGATAAATAAAATAAAATGAATAAATATATTTCGATATTAATATAGAGGGAAAATAACATATAAATACCTGAACTTTTACAAAAATCTCATATAAATACCTGAACTATAAAACTTACATATAAATACCTGAAATTTTAAAAAATCCTATATAAATACCTAGACTTTAGAAAACTTTTCCAAATAAATATAAATTTCATGTATTTTTCAAATAAAAATAGGTGATATTATTAACGTATTTTGGGTCTATTTGAGAATTTTTCAGAAATCTAGATATTTATATAGGATTTTAGAAAAGTTTAGGTATTTATATAGAAATTTTATAGTTCAGATATTTATGTGGAATTTTGTGAAAGTTCAGGTATTTATATACGATTTTTCCTAATATAAATTATATAGCCGAATAAAAATTAATTTATATTATTAAATCAAAATAATTTTATTTAAAGTGTCAAAATAATATGATGATATTTTTTTTTCAAGAGGGTTTGTTAAACAACTTACGTGTTTATATTTTATGGGTTAAACTATAAAACTAACAATTGAAATGTGGAATATCCGAGCAATGTTTTATTAAATTTTATAACTCGATAAAAGAGATACCGACAAATTGAGCATTATATATTTTTTACAAAACTAATTATATGACTCTTTTATTTATTTCATTAAAGTATTTAATTTAGTTGTTATTATAATAATGATGTATTTAATTTAATTAATATTTTATAATAATATATTGGTATATATTAAATTTATATAATCTCATCAATATTTTAATAAACTCATATACATATGGTGTATGATTAAACTTGCATTATATCTACTAGAGTTGGACACGGATCGGGTACCCGCGTTTTTGGAGATATCCGTCTTTCGTTTTCGTCTTCGCGTGTTTTAGAGAAATGCTATCTATATTTCTATCTCACAATATTTGGGTACCCATCCAACGAGTATCCATAACTAAAAGACGGGTACCCGCGAATACCCATACTCGTATATAAAACATTAACCAATATAAAATTAAGCCAAATAATCACGGAAAACAAATTCTTATGTGGTCCAAGGAAATCAAAGATCCGTTTCCATGATTTCATCTATATCAAATCTTAATATCAGAATAGCTTATATTGTCATGATTCAATTCAGGTCCACCGACTTTAGTTTGAGTTCTTTCTCATTTTTGAATCTGATTGGAACAGTGGGGAAGTAGGAAGACTTTCTTGATTCAATGTTTCTAGAAAAATTTTCCAAAATACATAATGATTTGAAGTTGAATTCACCAAAACTTGAAAATCCAATATATAATTCTCAAGGAAAGTAGAAATAACCTAAGTATTTTGGTAATTATATTAAGAATATAAGGGTAAGTTTGTAATTTTTAATATATGCGGAACCTCGCGAGTACCTGTTATTTCAATATATGAAACCCGAATCCGAATCCGTATGACGAATGTTCCACTTTTTAATACTCGTTTTCGTCTTCGTTAGATGTCGAGTACCCGTTTTTCGGATACCCACAAGATCGGGTACCCGCATATCCGCGGGTAACGGGTTTAAATGCCCAGCCTAATATGTATCTTGTTTTGTGTCTAATTTCTTGGTGGACTTTGTTCTTTCTAACTTTCAAAAGATTAATGCTAAAATATAAAATTACATCAATCTCTATATAAATAAATTGAATATTTCGTTCTTAAAAGATTCCTAATCAAAACTATATAGAGATGTTGTTTTGAACAAACCATATTTATCTACTTGAAATATGAATAATATATAAAAATAAATCTATTCCATGACAATATAAAGATCTTTCATTATTTTGTAAAAAAAAATATATTAATAATAAGGGGATATTGCCAAAAAAATCATGTACTCTTCCCAGATCAACGAAAAAAATTTGAATTTTTTTGTTTACCAATTAAACCCTGTACTTGGTATCATTAACTGATAAAACCCCGAACTTTTTAAAAATTCACCAAAAACCCTGTGCATCTGCCAACTCCAACAAAAATGATGATGTGGTAATGACATGGCTTCCAAGTCATGCACACATCATCATAATTATGTCACATCATCATTTCAAACAAAATTTAAATTAGATAATTTATTTAAATATATATATATACACAAATTCACACACATATATATATATTAAATATAAAATTATTTATAACTAATAAAACACACACATATATATATATATATATTTACAATATATATATATTATTTATAATATATATATATATACTCATACTGTTTTTAATATATATTGTATATATATTAGTTATAATTATTTTATTTTAATATGCATATTAGTTGTATATATATATGTTGCATATATAACTAATATATATACATATATATATATATATATATATATTATTTTTAATAGATGTATTATATATATGTTAGTTATAATTTTTTTAATATGTATATTATGTATGTATATAAAATTAATTATAATTACTTTTATTTTAATATATATGTATTAGTTATAATATACATATATGTTATAGTTATGTGTATATGTGTTTTATTAATTACAAATAATTTTATTTTTAATATGTATATATATGTGAATTTATATGTATATATATTAATTTAAATAATTTATTTCATTTAAATTTTGTTTGAAATGATGATATGACATAATTATGATGATGTGTGTATGATTTGGAAGACATGTCATTGACACATCATCATTTTTGTTTGAGTTGGCAAACGCGAGGGATTTTCGGTGATTTTTTAAAAAGTTCGAGGATTTATTGGTTAATCACCAAGTACAGGATTTAATTGGTAAGTAAAAAAGTATAGAGTCGATTTAATAACAAATATTAGTGTATAAAATATTGATTACCAACGTTTTTTAATATATTAGTGTATAAAATATTGATTGACATCATTTTTTTTGTTGAAACGTTGAAATAAATTAATGTCATATATACATTGTGTGTGTATATATGTATAAGCATATGTATAGATATGCATGTGTATGCATATATATAATACATTTATATACTTCCTCATCCTTTTATGCTCTTTTCTTGTTTTTTTAAGGGAAAAAACCCTAAAAATTCTTAAACTTGTAATTTGGAGTAATATTAATTCTTAAATTTGTATAGGTGCATGTTAATTCCCAAACTTGCAAAATTGAACACGTTAAATCCTAAACTTGTTAAACGGTTCCATAATCGTCCATAACACTATTTGGTAAAAAAAGAGTTGACCGATCTAACGTGGCGCATGACGTGGCGAGCCAACTCAGAAAATTATCGCCACGTCACGCACCACGTCGGATCGATCAACTCGTTTTTTTGACCAAATAGTGCTACGGACGATTGTGGAACCGTTTAACAAGTTCAGGATTTAACGTGTTCAATTTTACAAGTTTGGGAATTAATATGCACCTCTACAAGTTTAGGAATTAATATTACTCCAAAATACAAGTTCATAAATTTTTAGGGTTTTTTCTCTAAAAAACTAAAAAGATAAGATAACGAATTACAAGAAGAGAAGTAGCCTAAGTAAGTAGTATTGCTACTGTGAACTGTAAAACCATGACATAGCCTGAATCATGTAAATATATATATATATAACGACTTTAGTTATATAATTTTAGGCCCAGATTTTAAAATCTTTTACAATAATTTCGAAATAGAGGAAACACAAACTTTTTTGAAGTTATAAAAATATGCAATATCACACAAGTACATTTTGTTATAATAACAATTATATTTTGTTATAGAGAAAATAATCTAATAGTGGTAGTTTTTCTATCAAATATTCAAAATCTAAATTGATTACGAATCGTTTTAGAAAAAAATATACTAAAAAGTATATTTGAAAAAATACATTTAATTTAGAAATATTCTTTTTAATATAATTTTTTTTAAAACCATTCATAATCAAATTAGAAATTAAAAAATATTCATACTTTATTCACAAAAAAACAAATCCTAAAAATTTCTGAACTTATATTTTAGAGTAATATTAATTCCTAAACTTGTAGAGGTGTCTATTAATTCCCAAACTTGCAAAATTGAACACGTTAAATCCTGAACTTGTTAAACAGTTGCATAATCGTCCATATCACTATTTGGTCAAAAAAAGAGTTGACCGGTCCGACGTGGCGCGTGACGTGGCGAGGCAACTCAGAAACTTACCGCCACGTCAGATCGGTCAACTCGTTTTTTTGACCAAATAGTGTTATGGACGATTATGAAACCGTTTAACAAGTTTATGATTTAATGTGTTCAATTTTGCAAGTTTGGGAATTAATAGGCACCTCTACAAGTTTATGAATTAATATTACTCCAAAATATAAGTTTATGAATTTTTAGGGTTTTTTTCCTTTTTTAAAATTATTTCGTTATCTTTTTAAAATTACATAGCAGTTTGTTGTATAATCTGTCAATAATATGGTTGACTGTCTTAGCCGTATAGTAAAGAAAAAAAAGATCTTAGTCAAAGAAAAAAAAGAGTAAAATGGTCTAACCATATCATAACCTTTTGATAAAATCTGGTATTCTGTTTATTTTTAAAAATATATATATAGGTAATGATTATTGGTTGTTCTATACGAAGAGAAGTTGCTTAAAGATGGGTTCGTTCAATGCAGTTTGCAACAAAACATTACAAAATAAAGACGAATGTCCTTCCAAATCTCCTTGTATTATTCACTAACACCCATAATAAATTTTTCTTCTTTCTTGTTTTATAATCACCCAATTTCTGAAAAAAAAAATCCATACACATTTGGAAATAAATAGTAAAAAATCAAATATAGTCATTTAAAAAAAGAACAATTCAAAAATAAATAATAGAATTCTTTTGATAAACAAATATCAAATCAAATCATGTCCTTATAAATACCAATAATTATGCATCCAAAATCTTCATCCCAAACCCCACGGTGGGTCAAAGGAGATAGTTACTTGGCATGACCAAGCAGTAATTTTGCAGCATCATCAAGAGAGATAATATGAAGCTAAATAGGTTAGACAAATTTCTCTCCTCGATTATTTGTTTATACATATAAAACTAAGAAAAATATCACGAAGTCGTATTATCATGGCAATCCGATTCATAAATTTCCCAAAATGCTTTGCACTCGCTCAGGCATAGAACGTTTTTCTAATCTTTTTTTTTGTAAAAAAAAAAAACCAAACGTGATTATAAATATTACAGAAAAAACAAATTACTTATTTTCAACGAAGCGGAGGTTTTGATCCATCATTTTGGTTGCTAGAAAGAGTATTCCTCATAGCTATCATCATCATATGGAAGTCAAAAACTAAAGAGTGAGAGGCGGAATTATATCATTCAATCACTTGCATTCTCATTCTCCTTGTTATAGAACTGATGGAAAGTGTCATTCATTCCTTCCTTCATCCTGCAACACATGTATCATTGAAACAAACATATTCGTTTGTGCTTTGATCGCAAAGAAACATAACATTGAAACTCACACCTTCATATAAGATTTTTTTTTTTCAAAAGGCTATGTATTTTCGGAATTTGTAATAAAAAACGGGAAATTCATGTAACGTTTGACATTATCTATAAGAGAGAATTTATTACTCGATTTCTAACTCTTGGTATTATCAATCAATAACTGTGAAAGAAAAAAAACTGTATGATAATGGTTTTTAAAAAATAGGCATTTTTAAAAAAATTATGCAGTGGATTGCAAGATATGATTAGTACATTTTATCGTATTTCATAATTATATTTGAATTAAAATATAGATTTCATTAAATAAATAAGTTTCCATTAAACCCTGTTGTCTCCGATTCCCTCTCCCACTGCGGTCCTGACTCCTCCGCGATCTCCGACCTCTCGCCATCTCCGGCGACGACTCTCTCCAACATCTCCAGTGTCGCTAATCCGGAAACCATTCCCTCTTTTCCGTGTTGGTTATAGAGCTGCTCTGAAGATGGAAGGAAGAAAGAGTCTCATGCTCTGTGTTGGTTATGGTGGAAAGGATGTTAAAATCCATGAGGTGCACCTTACATGGTTCTTCGATGATTCCGGTAGCGGAAGATGCGATCTTAGAACGTATTCTACTCGAATCTTTGCATAAACCTTCAAGGGAAAAAATTTGCAGGGAGGAATTCAGGAACAGTGCGTTGGCTGTTTGGCATTTGACCCAACCGAGCAAGAAACTGCTGCTGCAGCGTCGGATCGGGGTAAATCCTTGCATCGAAGATTGCTTAAACGGGCTTTCTCTTCTTTATAACACAATTATAGGGAGTTATTACAGATATACCTTTAAAGTGTAACATCAGTTGCAACACATATACTCGAAAAATTAGGGTTTCCAAAAAAAACTGAAAAACATTGAAAAGACAATCTTAGCCTTAAAAAAAAATACACGTGTAAAAATCTGAATAAAGATGGCGGAAAAAAAAGAAAGAGTGGGAGTTTGAGGTCGAAATCAAAAATTGTTTTAAGTAAAAAAAAACTTTTCAGTTTCTTCGTTCTTCCTTCTTCGCGATTTCTCTCTAACGGACATTCTGCAAGCGATTTTGTTGGCGATTTCTTGTGCGATTTGTTCTCTTCACTTCAAAATGGCTTCGTCTTCATCGTTTTCGACATCTATCTGCGAAAATTTTCAGGTAAGGTTTCCATTATAACTCACCGAGAAAGTGAGGTTTTTTTGAATTTCATATGTGTACATTTGGGTAAATATTAAAGGTAGACAAAATCGTAGTCAAATGGGTCATAGTATTCGAGTTTTACAGATAAGAAAATTTAGGGTTTTGGTTTGAAATCAGAGTCATATGAGATTTTTGTCTCGGTCACTATCATAGAGGTCATACTCGTCACACTCTTCGTACTTGAAGGGTGAGACGAGTTTGACTAGTCCGATTAAACTGGGTACACCCGTCAGTGAAATACCGTTGAAGTCGTCACACCGTCTCACTGGTCACTAGTATAGTGGTCATACTCGTCACACTGGTCGCACTTGAAGGGTATGATAAATTTGACTAATCTGATCAAATTTGTCATACCAGTGAGACGATGATTTCAGTGAAGTAGTCTCATGGTCACAATACTCAAAATGGGTACGATGTGAAGTGGTCATACTAGTTACACATGTCGCATTTGAACGGTGTGACCAGTTTGACGAGTTTGACTTGTTTGGTAAAACTGGTAAAACTGATCAAACCAGTCAAACCAAACTGATAATCTTCCTGTTAATTTTGTTTTGCAGGTTCCTTTTGTATATGATTTGAAAGACATTCATCAGGCTCCCAAAATAACAACGAAGTGTTATCCATATCAAACAATTCGATCTCTAAAACAGGCATTAACAGACGAAGAATTCAGATACTTCAATGACGAGTCACAGTTTCGTCACATTTTTCATCTGCAATGCGAAGAAACATTGAAGATGGTTCCAGTGTCTGTCCTCTTACACCGTGCATTGAAGTTGGAAAGAGTGGTAAAAGAGTTATGGTTTGTTCTGAACGGTGTGCCTATCAGATATTCGATCACCGAATATGCCATTATCTCCGACCTGAACTGTGACAAGTATCCTAAAGATTGGGCTGATTTCAAGGGAAGCCAGTTTCGGATGAAAACATTTGGACCTTCAAAGGTGACCATATCAGGGGCATTAGAGAAGTTGTATAACACTCCAAGCACAGATGTGGAGGACAGAAAAAGACTAGCGATACTTGTTTTGTTGGGCGGAGTACTAGACCATGGTATCAAGAACACTGATGTGATTCCCACGGCCTTAGTTGACATGGTCGATAATCTGGAGTTCTGTCAAGGGTTTCCCTTGGGGAGATACACCTTTGAAAAAATATTCGAGCAAATATGGAAGATGTATGCAAGCAGTTCTAAACCGAAGGAGAGATGACATTGTCCGGGATTTGTGATACCTCTTATGGTAAGTTAAATTTTTTTGGTATGTTTTTTAATTTGATTGAGCGTTCGAGTATAGATGTTGTTTGATGTAATTGTTTGGTATGTTACAGTTGCTTCCTTTTGAATGCGTGGAAAGCTTAGGCGCAAACGGATGATATATGGCAGTGGAAGGTGCTGATCCAGCTTGTCCTAGGATGTGCAAGAAGCGCATCCAACCGGGTATGTTTGTCACATACGCAAACATGATGAAACAGATCGGTGTGACTTCACAGGTATGTAGTGTGACCAATATGACTGATATGACCAGATGTGAATGATCATATAAGTCTGTCTGATATAACCAATTGTCATAATGTGTTGGTTTAGTGCTCTATGATGTACTGTTTATGAGCTTTATTTAGATACATTTGATGTATTGATATTTTCTATGGTTTTATTAGAGTATTTGATTCATTACATGTTCTTGCATACTAGATCGGTTATGAAATCCATGTATCATTATGAATGATACTAAACTCCCTAGTCTTGTGTCGTTATGGGAATAACGACATAATAAGACTAGTATGATGTGTGATTGATGATCATACCGTTGGTCATAGGTATTGGATACGATCACAGTCATAGGTATTCGTTGGAGAACGAAATACTGGATTGACCCGCATGAGATTGTCACATGGACTAGTGTCATGACTGGAATCTCATATGGCGGGTCCATGATTGGATCCTAAGACCTGAGATATCTACGGAATCCAACATGAGGAGTTGCGTGCTTTGATTACGTCAAACGTCCTGCGTAACAGGAGGACTATAAAGGCATGCATCAGGTACGAAACGAATCATGTGCTGGATTGTAGATAGTCAAGACGGGATTTGTACCTCTCGTAAAAGAGAGAGATCATATCACTGGGCCCCTCGCGTGAGCGAGACTGTAGAAATGTATAGCCGCACTATAGACGAACGTCGTCTATTTCAGACAGTCGAACTCAGTGAACGAGAAAGCAGTCGAATCAGATAAGGTGGCTTGTCCATGCCTTATGTTCGACATATGATATCGCGATACAAAAGGATCATCAGCCGGAATCATCACTGGTGCACGAACAAACTCTATTCGAGATAGGTAGTCATAGTGTCTTGCTAGAGACCGCCTATGACTTGTATATCTGGAATAGAGATTTCGGGCTATACTGCTATATCGAATGAGCCTACAGGGTCACACACATAGGGAAGGACGAAACGCACGAGAAAACGACCGAAAAACCAAGACGGAAGGGTCTGGAACGGACGGACCAGAAGTCCAGAACGGACGGTCCGCCGAGCCAGACCCGGTGGTTCAGAACGGACTGTCCGTTCTAGAAGGTCTGGAACGGACGGTCTACTAATGCCAGACCGTCCGTTCTACGTGCTGGAACGGATGGTCCACGTGCATTTCTGGACCGTCCGTTCCAGGCTTCGGGTTTTTCGAAATTAGACCGAATTAGGGTTAAATCACCTTATAAGAAGGAGATTAAAACCCTAATTAAGTTAGAGCTTTTGCGGGCCGACTTGAGAACTCTTTTGACAGACTTTTGGTGAGATCCAAGAGGTTCAAGAGGGTGATCGAAGTCTCGGTTTCTCGAAGCACAAAAACCGAATAGCTGATTCGGGTCCTAGCAGACAGGTTCCAACTGTTGGAATCCATTCCGAGGTGTGGATACGTGTAGAGGGCGAGGTAATCTTCCTCCCTTTCGTGATCAAACGGATTCTTCAATTGAGACAGGCCCCGGATCGATTGAGGTAAGCGTTCTAACGTTTCTACGATTCAATAGCAGCATGGTTCTAGGGTTCTATAAAATTTTTGTTTTACTTCCGCTGCGCAAACCCTAGAATCGATCTCTTAGGAATAGGATTCACTTTAGAGATCTCAGGAATTCCTTCATAATGTTCTCACTGATTACAAGCGCCATTTATGTTCAGAGTATACGAAGTGTTCTTCAAATAAAGGAGGGAGAAGAACATATTTTTTTTAATCTACATGAAGATGAAAGTAGTCATCCGGAGGTTCAAAGTTTGATGCAACAATTGAAGATGAATCCGAGAAGTATTTGTTTTGAGAAAATACGTGAGCTTGATGTCGGTGGTAGAGCTTCCGTCAATAATGCAGAGAGGAAGAAGAAAGGCAAGGGAGAAGAAGAAGAAGAAGAAGAAGAAGAAGAAGAAGAAGAAGAAGAAGAAGAAGAAGAAGAAGAAGAAGAAGAAGAAGAAGGGGAAAATATATCTTTTGAAAAGATATTGGAAAAAAGGATAATTGCAAAAGTCGAAAAGAGGTTAACTGAAAAGATCGAAAGAAGGATAATTGAAAAAGTTGAAAGGGTTCTGAAGAGGGCAGGAATCACCGTTGAAGCAATAGATTGGTCTGAGATAAAGCGCAACAAAGAGGATGATGTTTCAATGGGTAGTCACTATAACACGAACACCGAGTTCGAGTTGAGACCTCGTTCTTCAGAAGAGAATGTGGTTTTTTCAAAGCATGAGCGAGGTAAAGTCATACAGTTTAATATTTAGTTTTGTTTACGAGTTTGAATAGTGTGATCAGTGTAGTCATATATGGTCTCACCGGTCACACTTATTTGGGTTAACGAGTTTGACTAGTGTGACTAGTATAGTCATACATGGTCACATTCGTCTCAATTATTTGGGTTGGAGAGTTTGACAAGTATGACGAGTTTGAACATATAACTATGTTAAATTGTTTAATTGGTTATACGCAGGGCATGAATCTGTGCAGGAATCTGATGATGATGAAGAGATTCCTGCTACACCAAAAGCAACATCTCATGATGATGAAGAGGGGGAAGAAGAGATTCCTGCTACGCCTAAAGCAACATCTCATGATGATGAAGAGGGGATTCCTGCTACTCCTAGAGCGGTATCTGAGCCAAAATCTGATGGTGATGAAGAGAAGGATGAAGAGATTCCTGCTTCTCCTAGAGCGGCTTCTGCTGAGGAGGAAGGTGAAAATGCAGAGATTCCTGCTGAAAAAGAGGATGAGGAGGTTCCTGCTGCTCCTAAGGAATCGGTTCAACAGAGTAAACGACCGATACGCAAAAGAAAAAAGGCTGTTAAAAGTCCTTACACTGCCTTTGGATCGACAGATCCACCTTCCAAAAAGCAACGAACAAAGAGAGAAACCAAAGGTCGAAAGGGAAGAAAGGGAAAAAAGGAAAAAAAGGGGAAAAAGGATCATGTGGAATCTGATCCCAAAGATTCTGTGCCTCCAATTGATGATGATGAAGTTCATGTCGAATCTGATCCAAAGGA